GACGCATGATATCATTGCTTATGATCAATATATTTAAATATGAAGTATTTTTGAAAAATTTCAAGCGATGATAGTTTTCATCAGAAGTATTAAACTAGCATGCTTTCTTCTGACTACACTAACACGTTAATCGTCATGTCAGTCATTTATGCAGGACCACCATATCACACATATATGTATGACATAAAAGATAGTGATTTAGCAGAAAATTTTGCCAACAATGCTAGTTGATGCGGTTAAGTTTTCTTGATATATTTTTTAACTTAATTATATAATGAAACTACAAAGGCCAATGTGATTGTTTTTATAATATCGTAGCGATTAACGTGTTAGATATATTTTTCAAAGAAATTATATTACATATTATATAATATAACTTTTATCGACGTTTGCTCAAAAACGCCTGAACCGATTTCAGAAATTGAAAAAGCATCTGATGTATCTCGAAGAGGATTATTGTTTCTCAGTTTTGGGCGACGATCGGCCGAGCCGTTTCATTGTAATTTGGAAAAGTGTTAAACTTTTCGTTCACATTTAAGCTCATACTACCGAACCGATTTTTAAAAATAAAAAACTGTTCGAAAGATATTAGTTGGGAATAATACTGATTAGTTTTAGATGAAAATCTACCAACCCGTTTAACTGTTGAACAATAAATTTAAGCCGATTTTCATGGAACTCTTTTTGGCGATATATTATATATCATGGTCTTATACAACTTACTGAAATATTACGGCCTTACGACAAGTAGTTTAATTTTAAAAATTCATCAAAGTTTGAGAAAAAAAGTAGTTTTTTTGACGTTTGTTGAAAATAAAATTAGATGATTTAGTTGGTATAACGATAGAGTACTTGGTCTTGAATATAGTAAACCATTAAGTCCTACGGACAATATCTAGTTCAATTAAAAAAAATATTGATTTTTGAAAATTTACTTTCAGAAAATAGTCCGAGTTAACGTGTTCGTTCGTTTGCAATGATGTGTAATAAATCCACTCGGAATACTTATAATGGCTCATAAATTAATTTATTTTTTATTGATTTATTCGATTATTTACACATTTCGGGAAGTTCATGTAACTTGCCTCACGGCAAAATACCAATACCAACTAGTTCTATATATAATATGTATAATATGAGGTTGATCTTAATCATATCTTACATTGAACATTTAAATATGCTCTTGCAGTCTGTCTGTCTCCATGGGCATTTGTAACAGCACATACATATTCTCCCAAATCGCCCATCATAACTGGTCCAACTGTAAGTCCACCCTGGGGCCCGTATCGAACACGATGCCTCAAGTCTACGAGTTCACTGAGAGGAACACCATCTTTGTACCATTCGACAACGCTGTCGGGATCTTTGCTTGTGCAGGCGAAATGTGCTCGCTCGCCTTCTAGTGTTGTCTGATTTACTGGAGGTATGGCCAGTAATGCACCACCTAGAAAAAAAAATAGATAAATTAAAATAAGTAATAAATTCTATAATTTATGAATTTTTCATATAATTGAGTTAAATATACAACGCTTGCGCTCATACCCTTTCAAAGAGCAATGATTCCACCTTTTTCCAGGAAAATTGTCCTTGTATATATCACATAACGATCAAATAATTTTCAATAAAACTAACCATAGTAATACATGAGTTTTTCCGCTCGTCAATTTACGCTCAATATACTATAATTGCATATTATAGAAAAAATCAATTTTTGAAAATTTTATATGGACTTCCCCCCTTAAGTGAATTGTATCATTCAGTTGCTGTACTTTTTGTCTTTCAACACTTTATAAATAATTAAATATTATTATTATAAAATAACTAAATATTGAACTTTGAATATTAATATTAAATTTTACATGGTAACTATAGATAATCTCCTAATATTAATAATTAGTGGTTTGGTCCTGATACATGAAATCAATTATCATTTACAGAATCTTTACCATCAACTTCCAAGTGGAACCACGTTCCATTATTTCTTGAGCTTGGGCTTCGGTTCGGAAAAATGATTCGGCACTCATACCATCCAGAATCAGATTCTCGAATTGCCGTGAGATTGATGGACCCGCGACCAAAACCATGGACCTGATGGTCATCGAGAAGAGTAATGCGGCCTCTATATACAGGTGCTGCTACCAAGTCACCATCGTACCAGGAGAATATTTCTTCGCCCTGAAAATCAAGAATAATAATACTTTATTTACGACAATTTTATGGCTGATGAAATCGCTAAATTTTGTAACAAGAGAATATGTAAATATGTTTACGTTTTTATGTGTTTAAATATAATAATATATATTGTGTTTAAATATAATAATTATAACGTGTAATTTCGAGCAAAATCATCAATAGAATGCTCCAGTGAAAAAATGGCGACGCCAAGAAATTAAAATGACCAGAAATAGTAATGACAAGAAATAGAAATGAAAAGAAATAGAAATGACCAGACTAGAAACCAGTGTTACCAGAAACCAGTGTTACCAGAAACAAGTGTCGAAACAGAAAACAGATGACCAGAAACATGGATGACCAGAAACATGGATGACCAGAAACATGGATGACCAGAAACATGGATGACCAGAAACATGGATGACCAGAAACATGGGTGACCAGAAACATGGGTGACCAGAAACATGGGTGACCAGAAACATAGGTGACCAAAAACGTGGATGACCAGAAACAACGATGATAAGAAACAACGATGATCAGAAACAACGATGATCAGAAACAACGATGATCAGAAACATGGATAACCAGAAACAGAGATGACCAGAAACAGAGATGACCAGAAACATGGATGACTAGAAACAGAAATGATAAAAAACACGGATGACTAGAAATATGTATGACCAGAAACAGAAATGACCAGAAGCATGAATGTCTAAAGCTAAAAATGACCAGAGGTAGGAATGATCAGAAATAGGAATGACCAGGAGTAGAAGTTTTTGATATATATGTCAGAAAACTGAAATGTTTGTAAATATAAAAATTTAGTATAATTTAGCTTAATTAACTATATTGTATTACACGTGATTCAATTTATTAAACCATAGTATATAAAAACAGTGAAACCATTTTTGATTCTAATGATGTTATATTCTATATGTATTTCGCAATGGTAATTTTTTTTTGTTAAACCTGTGTTTAATGTTCGCATATTTTCATAAAGATATAACATCATTACGATGTTAAACTGAATTAAAATATTATTTCTATATAATCTGTTCCAATGGGTACTCACGCACCGTAACCAAACATTCGCACATTTTGTTCCGCAGGAAACATTAAACCATCATTACATAACTTGGAAATACAGATCGCCTATCATATATCGCGGGAATTAAGATAAATGAATGATGTACAATCAATTATGCTTTAAATTAAATATATCAAGGGAATTTGATCATAAGGCATTCTACGAAATTCAAATGATCTATCTATATAATCCATTTTGGCATAAAAATAATCAAATGATACGGCACTCCTCGCTTGGTCTTATTGTGTTAATTTAATTAATTCTGATAGTTAGTCAGATAGAGAGCGCCCATATCCTATACGTCTAACTATTCTAGGTCATTTTTGATTAAATCCAATTGTGCTTTCTGGTTTAAATACAAAGTACCATTAAGTAGTTGCCCGATAGACATTGCAAAAGTGAGTGATGGGTGACGACTGACGAACTACTCGTAATAACTTGAGACTCTTGGAGCGGTAACATGAAGGCGGCTTTTATTAAGTTGTAGATTAAATATCAATCACTTTATATCATTCAATTATTCAATATTACTGAATTATTTGAGATATCTTTATTAAAAGTAAGACACTATTAAAAATCAATTCAAAAGTCATTGGAAAAGTAATAACAGTAGATAAAAAGAGCCAATAAAAATCTTATACACAGTTTCTTAGATTATGTTAAGTTGCTGATAATCAATGTTATATTTGAACATAGCTCTGAAAAATATTTTTTTGCTAAAATTTAGCAAAATTTTATATGAAAATTTTAGTTCTATTTTGGAACAGAAAAGCACGATTAGATAGATTTGATTGGGACTTTCACATTTCGAAAACTTTCTGAAAAATTGAATTAGTATTTTTCATATGACACGCATTTGATAAATACATCATTTGTGTACTTAATTGATCTCCATTCAACGATTGCCTTCTAAGATGATTAACGTAAAAACATCCAAACAAGTCATTTCATTTAAAGCAAACATAGTCTGAATATACACAATACTTTTTAATTATAGTAATAATATTACAGTAATTTTGTAACATTGTAATATCTACAGGCTAAAAATAATTTAGACATTTGAATTTCCAAAAATAAAAATATACAATGTTATAAAAATAGATCATCTTCATAAAGATTTATTTGCTGTAGTTATTAACATGTCGTACAAAGTTATTAACATAATTGTTTAAACAAATAATTTTAAATATAATTATTAAACAGTACAATGTTTCAGTTAAAATTATGCTAAGTGAATGGTAATTTCGAGTTCATAAAATTTAATAAAAGATGCTGTCATAATTGAAGCATGTATAATAAAAGAATTTTTTTTATAAGGTACAAAATTGAAATAAAATATTTAAGTGAATCTGCTACCACCAGCAGAAGCGTCATTTTAACAAAAAAAAAAACCATTATTATTTAATAACCATAATAATTTGAACCATTATTCTGATATCCTAGATTGCAATGCTAAAGCTCTTATCACTGATCTACCACTGATTTTAATATACATAGAAGCTTGCTTTCTCCTTTTGGGTTTTATAAGTAGTAACCTTATTTCAAAGATTTGTTTTGATATTATTAACAATTTGGAAAGCTTGCAGTTTGAATTGGGCTATTCCTTTCAATAATTTGCCTATAACCAAGAGCCTAAATTACTCTAAAATGTACCTACAGGATTTAGTATTTAGATTTAATTATATTTGATCACAAAATAGTACTTAAGTTGAAATTATTACAAAAATATTAGTTTCTCAATAGTCAATTACAATCTGTTTTTAAAATACAAAAAAAACATTTAGTAATTATGAATGACAATATGTAAAGTTAAGACCAAAGTTATTTGTAATCTAGGTAACTTTAAGAAGCTTTACTAATAGTTGAGCATTTTAAATAAAAAAGAAAATAAAAGAAGATTAAATTAAATCGTTGATTCAAATGTATGTTTAACGAATCCACAAAGAGAAAGTTAATAGAGAAGCTGCAATTCAGTTTGTAGAATATATCCTGAATGAATGTTTCGGACCGAAAATTCATCAAATGATCCAACGACCTCACACCATTTATATGCAAATATCGCAGGAACACGCGAGTGACCAAGCCAATTCAAACAAATTCATAATAGAGCAATGGTACAGGAACTGTCAGAAGTAGAACTACAGTTGACAAAGTTATTTATAACCCGAGACTGCATTACATTCAAGCCGAATTGTTTGGCTACTGTACCGTGAATATGAAATTTCGTGTTTATGACGATGTTAAAATAATTGATTGTAATCAACATTGGAATCTGTCAGAGTAAAATTAGATACGAGCTGGATAAGTTTTCGAATCCGCAAAAAGTTATGAGTTCAACCCCTATTTTGGCACACTATACAAAAATGAATGCATGTTTTCGTATACTGAGTACTTTAAGATCTACCATGATTTCTCAAGAACGCCTGAAACGATTTGAAAAGTTGAAGAGATTTTTTCTCTTTGAAAATTAAAAGAGATTTTTACATTTTTTTGTTTGTTTAATATAAGGGTAATTGAATAGTAGCTTTAGTTTTAGTTTAATTCAATAGAAGAATGTTAAAAAATCATGATAAAAGTCATTGTAGCCACAATTAAATAGCCCATTTCAATTAATTATGTAATGACCTATGCACATAGATAGTTTTAAAAATTATTTAAACTGATGAATTTATGAATGAGTCAGGAGTTTTGAAAACAACTGTATGTGTCGAATTAAGCGTGCAAGACTTTAATTTAAATTTTAATTGAGGTACACGGCTATGCAGTCCATTGAGTTCGGGGCCAAACTAAATGACATACATTTTACGTAATCGTTTTAACGAATCATGCACTTATAATTCGTAACAATATTAGGAAAACATTGCAAAATTAATTTTATTTTTAATTGTAGTATGTGTCAACTGCTTGAGATACCGCATTCCAGGAGATTCAAGCGAAAATAACTAATGGATTATCCAATTAAGATTATCCTAGATTAATCCTAATCTAGCTAATTGTTTAATGAAACAATTTTTATATTTTTTAGAAAATCATCAAAATATGATAGTTAATTTAATGTAATCATTTTTTGTATTATTATTATATTATTTTATTATTTATTATTATTATCAATTATTAATATTATTAAGTACTATTTTTATGTTTTTATCTTTATTTATTCTTATTTATTTTATTTTTTGTTTTAGTTTATATATTTTGGCATAAAAGCTCATAGAATTTACATTACTATTCTGATTGTTGTATAATAATAAATGAATAAAAAATGGTATGAGTGATCAAATTCTGTTGCTGTGTATATTTTCATTTGTTGATTCCTTTTATATTTAATCGTTTGTTGCCAAAATGCAAATACACAAAAAATTTTGTTCAAACTAATTTTTTGGTTCTAATAAATACATGTACCTTTTAAGTAACAGTGGCCTATGAAATTTGCACTATTATAGAATTAAGATTTAAGTGTCATTCCACAAAAAAAATTTTTTTGGTGAAATATGGAGAAAATTGAAATTTGACTTGGAAGTTACGCGGGCTTATAGAAGTTTGAATCTCTTCTGTAAACCACAAATTTCATTAGAAACCATCTCACCAACTATGCAAATATGCATTTCTCATCATGCTTAATTCTATTTTCATATTAATAAAATAATATTGCGTTTTATATTATCATTTCAATATTTTATCAAACTTTACTGAATATTCACATTTAAAACACTAGTCATAAAATTTTAAGATATAATTGGCGAACATAATTTCTATTAAAATATCGTACAAAGTTTGTTCAGCATTTTTGCCGAAAACGAAAATAGTTCACATTAGCACTAATTTGCTCATTAAGAAGAAATTTATCGGCCGGTCGTGGGACTAACTAGAGATTACTTAGCCCTTATTGAGTTTAATAAAATAGCTTAAATTTTTAAAATCGATGCATACTTTTTTCAAAAAAATGCCGATGATATTTAATATTCAGCTCACATACACGCATACTATTATCTAATATTGGTGTCAAACAATTCAGAATGACTTGAAACCACTAAAAAATATGCAAAACGGATAGATGAGGCGAAGATATAATTTCTTTCTTCGAAAAGTTAGAAGTATAATAAACTAAGAATCAATATTTTATTGCATAAATGAATCTGTTTTCCTAATTTAATTTCTTTTATAATCCAGTTTTCCTATCTCTTTGTTGCATATTTATTACTAATTAGATGATGATAATGAGTAGTACTGCCCTAGGGCAGAACTGTGAGCTGAGTTAAATTCCAGCTCGATTCAGGGAAGAATAGTGTGAGAGATTTCTCTTTGCCAATTCACATCGCAGTGCCCAAAATGAGCTATTTATAAATTGAAACAAATTTTTGATCAAAGTGAAAATGGATATCCCTTTTGCACGATATCAGAATGTTCATATTATTTATAAAATTAAATATTTCTACTTACATCTTTACTCCACCTCAGTTCGTACGGAATCTCTAAATCATTTGGAAATTCGATTTCGCAGTTGAAGGCGATGTGAGATCCGACGGTCGCATAGAGATTCGTGCTCGTCTCCTCGTCCTCTTCAGATGAGGATGCATTGATTATCTCGGAACGAAGTACAAGAAAGCATATGAGTGCACCGAAGAAACACTTCTTGGAGTACATGATTGATTTCTTCACTTCGTAACTAGAATTGATATAAAAATACACAGGTCAGAAAAAAACTTAACTGGGTGCCAGTAGCATTAAACTTAAAAACAAGTTGCTTAACCCCTTAACTCACAATTTAGATTCGAAAATGTCGGCCCAATGTTGTTCAAGCTGGTGCAGCGTTGTGACTATTTTCCTACATAGTGTACGGTTTATCACAAAAATAAAAATAATTTTGTGTTTTATAGTTTCGTATGAATAAATATTTTATAATACTTGCATTCACCATATCAGGCCATGCCCGAAATGCGTAATATTTGCTTCTGGCCCGAATATCGTACGCGGGCTATGGCCGTTATATTCACTTTTGGCCTAGCAATCGCACGCGGGCTCTGCTCGTCATTTTAAGTTAAGGGGTTAAACTTCTCAGTATTAATCAATCATTATTAATTTATAAATGTTTCAGAAGTATACCGAATGACTTAGGTTCTTATAACGTTGAAAACTATTGCGGATGATCACTTTTGTTTAAATTTTGCATATATGTTAGTTATATTGGACAAATAGTATAAATATTGTACAATATTGAACCAAATTGTAAAGCACTATTTTTTTTGTGGTCAATTCTAAAAAAATATATTTAAAAAATATTATCTCTTTTCGATGTACTAGTACTGGGCCCGTAGTATTTTCCTCTATGAGCTAGTTGGTAAAATAAACAAAAAAAGACAAATAAATAAATTAGTGTAGTTTTTTTTTTAATTAGTGTCATGATTCAATAATTTAATTAGAGTTGTCATAACTTATTTGATTTGGTAAACATTGAAATTAAAAGTACAATAAATAAGTAGTCTGTTTTATGTTTTTTGCTAGTAATATATTTTCCACTAGATATTTGAATTGTGCAATTCATCTGTTCTAACGTTAATTAAATAATAATTACAATCAACAATATTGTTTATAAATACAAATAATACTAATAAGTGTGAGTTAGAGATATTAAAATTGCAATATTTTAAAAATCTAAATAATACACAGAATCATTCCTTAGCAAGCATAATCAAAATACTAATTTTGAATAACTCATTTGAATTCTAAATTGCATTATTAATCAATTATTGCTTTAAAATTAAGTTCGAATCTTACCGAAAAATCTTCACAATAATTTTTTAAAACAATAACATTGAATAAAAATTACCAAGAACCATCCACTACAAATATTTTCCTGATACTAAAATAATACTCGAATTTTCAACTATTACTGCACTTGACCATGTCATCCTCCCCATTAATTTACAATTGATTAATTGAATTTCAATTTGTTTCAAACTTCGACATGTCAAGTTGTTATGACAATATTAATTATTTCATTATAGCTTCAGCGGTAATCTTTGATAAAGAATTTTTGCATTGAATGAGTCTTGGTTAATAGTTGATTAATGCCTTCAATAAATGCAAACGCAAAACCTTGAGATATCTCATCTGTGGCAGAAGATTGCACACAATTGACTTCCATCGTATGATTTTAATCTATGATAAAATATTCTTAATAGAATATTATATTCAATTCAATGTTTTAAATTAGCGTTATTTATATTTAAATCCACTTAAACAAGAATTTTGCATCTGGAATAAATAGTATTTTATTTAGAAAAACGTCATGGAAAATAATACATTGTTGCCTTTGAAATGTATATGCATTAGAAGAATATACTGTGGGGAAAATTTGCTCAGATTGTTTTTTTTTGAAAGATAATATAAAAAAAAAATTTTTTATTAATATTATTATTATTATTAATATCTGCATCTATAACATGCAGAATATCAGTTAATTTTTGGTAGTACATTTTTGGTGAACTTAGAATGTTTAAATCGAAAGCCAATCCAGTGATTTAACTTCAGGATGTGATAGTATACAATCAAGTTTATGGGAAGAAGATAGTATATAAAGCTTAAATATAATACATTGAACAGAATATAATTTTCTATATTGCACTTCTTCACAAAGTTTACCTAAGCTCACGGAATTACTTTGGAAACATTATCCAATAATATGAATTATATATATATACGGAAAGTTATACATAATGAAAAAACATTTTAAAAAACACTCATCTAAGCTTAATTCTTTATCATTTGTTGTTTGTCAATAATTCAACAAAATAAATCCATAATTTCTATTAGATGTAGCAGAAGTACCATCACTAGATAGGCAATCAATGTAGACATTTTTAAATACCACCAAAAATTTGCTGATGTTTCATAATGGTATAGATGCAGCTATTAAAAAAATGTATAGCAGAATATAAAGGATCAGCAGATTCACAAATATGGATGATAATAACAATAATGTTTCAATTATAAGTATGGGCAATTTCTATCATGAGGCAGGTTCTTGAAAAGCGAGGAAATAGTGTAATTTAATACCAATTTGCCTAAATGTACATCATTTGATCCAAAGACATATTTGCATTAATATATTGAAATAAAAATGAAAGTCAATTTAATACTATCAAATAATATATCTTAAAAATGTAGTAAAAATCAATTAGTTTTATACAGGTATTGACAATAAACTAGCAATTTATGCATTTTGAATGCTTAAAATTTATAAATAACAAAGGGTTTGATGGTTTAAATTTTAACCAATATACTTTCTAGATTTTAGCTAGGAATAGTATCCAAATTAGGCAGAAAAAGGTTGCCCACACAACCATAACTATATTATTATATTTTGTATGTAACATTATTAACTTCCCGTAGGGTAAGTTATTGTAATTGTCCAAAAATCGAAATTGAAATTTTTTTGCATTTCTCGACGTTTTGAAGGTTTCTGAACATTTTGGCATACCTCAGAAAAAATGGATGTGTATATGTATGGATACAATTTTTCGTCCACGTTTTCGTGGTTGGTTGGTTCAAAAAACATTCGATTCCTATTGATAGGGAGATGTGCTGATTAGTTTTTGGCAAAGGCAGGTCCAGCCGTTTTGGAAATACGGCGCAAAGTATGCAGAAAATAGAAATTTGTTTTTGAGAGATCGGAGCATCGAATTTGAATGATCCAAAAAACATTCAATTGGTGATGAGGGGGAGAAGTGGAGATTAGTTTTTGGCAAAGGCAAGTCCAGCGGTTTCGGGGATACAGAGTTAAATGTGCAAAAAATGGCAGTTTTTGAGAGAACTAAGTGTAAAATAATTCAGATTTTAATTGTTATTCTGACTTAAGCAATTCGGCTTATATAATTCTTATAAATATTAGACAATGTTAGAGTATTTATTTATAATAAACTATTTGAAAACATTTAACATTCCTCGAACATTTCGTTACGATACGGGAAGTTCTAGCAATTACCCTTAAGGCACGATGCCATACACACCACTAGTTTGATATTTAAGACTAAACAATAAGGTAAGGTGTATTTGATTCGTCATGATAAACATATAGAAAAATGTTATGCAATTGCTTAAAGCAACTCATGCTGGCAGTATACGCAGTATAGTAAACATTTAACACATACCTTTTATAGTTTCATAAAACCATCATATAATTTATATAGTATTAATATTAAATTAATTCTATATAACTGGAAAACTGCAGTCTTATTATTTTTAACTAATCACATTTACACAACAATAACAAACAAAACTCATCACTGGCTGGTACTGACTTTTAAGTACTTTGCATATCACTGATTCCGGCAAGTGTGAGACAATGTCCTTACGAGTCGGATAATGAACTTATGAAATATTTTGCTAGTTATTCAAAAAGGCACATTATGTCGGCCACTATGCAAAAGATTCCACTGGACCCTATCAGCAACGTAATAAAGTTAACTTTGGAATAATGACGGCGTAGGATTATGGAGTGCGACTGCCGGTCAAACCAAAACAGAGGAGTGGGAGGCTAGATTTGCATGCATTCTATATGGAAAGAAATGCCAAAATTTGGAAGATTTGTACTTTATTTGTAGATACTTTGATGCCAAGAAAGATGATTTTTTCAAACGCGCACTTTTCTAGAATTATGTAAAATGGGAAACAACGATCTTGAGACGATAGTCATATGTTGTTATATATATATATATATATATATATATATATATATATATATATATATATATATATAAACTTTTTTATAAATTACAACGTGTCGAAATAGAAAGACATTGAGTAATTAGTTTAACAAATAATATTTTAAAAAGAAAACCCAGTGGTTCACCTTTTATTGATGTACTAAATTATACATTAATTAAATTTTGGTATTATAACGAGAAAAATAAACTCATATATATATACATACAATTATAAACAAAGTACATTACACAGACTACATTTACACATACATACACACACCTATCATATATAATATGGTAGAACAACTTATTATTGGTTAAAGTGTTAGGTCTAATAATTGCATTCTTTTTAGTCTTATATTATACGAGTACTCGTATGTGGTGTTGTCAAGACTTGCTATCAGTTCGTTTGGATGATGGTCAATTTTACTCTTGAAGATAAGGGCACTATTTTTAATTTCTTCACTGATTGTGAGTGTATCGGTGTCCTGATGAATTAACCATGTCGGCAAATACCTTGGCGCGGAATTTTATATTTGATAGTACGAAATAGGATAAAAAAAATTATTCATTCCACAATTTATCTGTAAAACCCACCGATACTAAAATCTTGACGGTTTGACTTTAGTATCGGTAGATTTTACAGATAAATTGTTGAATGGATTATTTTTTTTAGTTAAGATCACTTCCAATATTATAATATATTAAAAATTATTGAACTCCTCTAACAGAATTTTATAACCTAATATTATTTTATAACCCCTTATTTCTTTCTAACTAATAATAGTTGTATATATCTATGCATAATCCAATTATAGAACGTTGTCAAATATTTATCAAAATGTTTGCATTTTTATTGTGATGCAGAGTGACATGAATGCTATAGCATCCAAATTTAAAAGTGAATGAATTTCAATTTAATTGATATGATCTCACGTTTTTGTAATTATTACACCTCCCAAGGTAATGACTAATTGATTCTTTAGTTATTTTCATATTATCTTATCTTTTTCCGTAGGCACTAATTAGCTCGGGCAAGCACAATGCGTAATACTTGACGTGGATGCTATAGCATTCATACTATATAACGATTAAAATATGATAATCTGACTACCCTTGTAAGTAGTAATCAATCAAATTTCGAATGTCACAGCCAATTTCAAAATAAATTGAATATCAATTTGTGTACCTTGCCGAAACTTTCATTATCCGGGAAATATGTTAATTTCTACTATAAACCATCAAAATTAAAAACTTTTGTATACAAATATAAATTCTGCAAAAATAGTTTTAGTAGCACGTATATTAAAAAAAATATAAGTTAAGAAAAATAAATAGAAAAACAGCAATTACAAGTGGAACTGTAATATTTTTCTATATATATATATATATTCTTCGGAATATTTAGTGTAGCAAAAAACTAACTTATTCAAGTGCTAAAGGAAGAGATTTATGAGTAAAAGGGACATGGGGCTCACGAAGTAATTTTGTAAATATTTATTTAATCTATAATAAATGTCTTTTATTTTAAATGTAAAATTGTATTGCATTGCATTAGTATTGCATTGCATTAGCAAATTTTTTTTTCAAAAATAATAAAATAAGGAGGGGATAATTGTGTAAATAATAATTTATCAAAATTGGCCAAATAAGTAATTTAATAATCATTTCAAAAAATTTATTTTATAGTAAGTAATGAATTATCATGTATAATATCCGAAGGCTTCAGTGAAATCAAAGTTTGCTTAGAAAATATTGTCTTCATTCACAATAATTTTAAGATTTTTTCGAATGAGTTGCGATGTTTATTCTTACACCATGGATTAAAAATATTATCTAAATTGGGATAATTGGATACTATCAAACCTAATTTTATATGATTAATTATCAATTAAAACTATTTCTCTCATACAAACTATAAATATTTATGTCCTAGTTGAATTTAAAATTAATTTCAATTTGAAAAAAGAATTAGGTAATATATGATTGATAACCTATTTTTCTATCATTGAATCTAGTACATATTAAATATTATTTTACCGTTATATCCTTAACCTTGTAAATAATTTAAACTTGTTGAAATTCAGATTATTTACATCTTTGTTAATTTATACACTAATTGAAACTAAATTAAAACAAACACAAAAAGAAATTTAACAAAGTTTGACATAGCGACTGGCCCTGAAAATCATTACACACAGTAGTTAAATATCAATAAAAATGATTTTTTATGTAAAAATTATATACGTTAGAAATATACTCTCGGCGAAGTATTGCCCTAGGGCAGGTCCGTGAACTGAGTTAAACCCCAACTATATCAAGAAAGTATATTGTGAAAAATTTCTCATTGCCATCTCATATTGCCCGAAATGGACTATTTGCAATCGCAAGCACATTTTTAAACTTGACTCGATGTCAGCGCAATGTAACAATGTTATATAATTCTTGTTGAATTACCTTTGCACGAGAATAAAATAAATAGATAACCACATACAAAGATATACATAAACATAAATGAACACAGGCACTAGAGTTGTTTAATATTTTGTAAAAAGATTATGTTAAATTAAATTTTAAGATATCCAATTTAAAAATTATTAAATTTTCCGAAATTTTCCAATCACTTCATAATAAACATTAGCCTCTAGTAAATTGTAAGCATTAATAAAATATTCACAGCTAGGAGCAAAATTAGGAATAAATATTGGCATGACAGATTGACCTAAACGTCTAAGCAAAATGCATTACTTATCACCTGTATCTTATGATCATCTGATAATATTTGGCTCCAAACCATCAAAGTACTGATTAAAATTGAATGTATACAAATACATTAGGCACTGAAACATTATAGCAATCGTGTCACCATGTCCTAGTAATCGACTTAATCACGGAAAATCTAAAATCGAACTGACACCCATAGACGTCAATGTTAACATTTGTATTTTACGGTACTCATTAGCATTTTACACAAAATATGATTTCTGACGTATCGTTTAGTAACTTAATTAACAGATTTCGCGATACATTTTCAATGTAAAAAATGACGTAAACTGGGATGTAACGAATTAAAAGATTAATACTGAAGGCGTGGATATTTTGACAAATAATAATTTGATCTTGCTATGGTAACATCATAGACTTGATTTCTGGATTGATATCTATATTTTTTCAATTTTTTTGTTCATTTTACAAATAAGCGTATGAAATCGAACTGTGTCTTGATTGCCATCTATGAAAATTAATAAAAAATCTTTGTATTTTTAAAATTTGCTTTGTTTTTGGTTATAGACTTTCTCGTTTTATTCAAAGTTCAAATCATGTAACATGATATAAATTTCTCGGCAATTTTTTTGTAAAATCTTTCAAACTGTTAGGATCAAGTTAGTTAGTTTACTATTACTATGGACTCATATGTTATCTAAGTATTTTTAAAATCAATTTTAGTACTACAAGCCTTTTAAAAGTTTAATATGAATACCTATTTTACAAGTGAATATTTAAAATAATTGATCAGGATATTATAGAAACGCCTACTAGTCTTTATTATGAAAAATGAAAAACAGATATCGTGGCTTATATAAAATCGCTAAATTATTTGAGAATAATTTATGAATCCTTTAAATCAATAAGAAAAGTTAAAACCATCGATTAATTTTAAATTAACGAAAGTGTAACTCTTCTTCACGAATGTCACAATAAATAATTTCAGTTCTTCTTAATCGCTTCTTTAATCTTTACACTTTTTTTTTTTTTTTTTTTTTTTTTTTTTTTTTTTTTTATTTGACTTCGTTATATAACATTTGGTCATATACAAACATAATGAATATACATAAGGATAAATACATAACATCTTATTACTAAATTAAATTATATAACTAATTTAGATTTTACAATAAATTCATATAATATTTTATAATTTCTTTCATTTCTTATTATGCAAATCCATGTAATTGGTTTTTATTACTTTTGTCGTCATAATATTTGTCCAGCATTTCTTCTCGTTGTTTTATATACCTGCTACATTTCATAATAATATGTTCTATATTTCCGTCTTCTTCTCCACATTCACAGATAGCTGAAGACCTAATACCAATTTTATATAAGTGACTTGGAAAATTGCCATGGTTTAATCTGATTCTACTTAACGTAGTTACAAATTTTCTATCTTCATTTTTAAGACTTTTAAACCAATTGTTTTTTTCTAATTTTATTCTCTATAGTCTTATATGTTTTTCCCTTTACCGTGTCATCCCAATTTTTTGCCATTCCTCTTCCACATTTCTTTTACTTATGTTTTCGACATCACTTTTCAGCATAATGTCCATTTTTTCTCCTTGTTTCGTTGCTATTTTTGCTAATTTATCCACCTTTTCATTTCCCTCTATTCCATTATGTCCTCTGATCCACGTAATTTTTATCTCATTTCCTATCAATTTATATTTTCTAACTCGCTTCGAATTTCTGTATAAATTGCTTCCTCAAAAAGATTTTTTTTGTTTATGCTTATTAATTTTTCTACACAACTTTTACAATCGGTATATACAATTGCTCTTCTTATGTTCAAGTTTTTAATATATTTTACCGCTTCTCCTATAGCTACTAATTCCGCAGTATATACTGAAACAAAATCTGGTAGTTTTATCAATTTTTGAAATTCTTTATTCTCATGGATCATGGCACACCCTACTTCATTATTTACTTTAGAGCCATCTGTGTAGATTTCCTCATATCCTCTACTGTTTATAATATTTGTCTCTTCATTATTAATATTGACAAAAAATTGTTTACCTTCATCAAACCATAATTTTTTAAGATTAACGTTGTTTTCATATATCTTATAGACATTAGTTTTCTTCATGAAATTCAAACTGTCTACCATAATATTTTGCTTATTATCCCAAAATTTATTATTCTCCATTAATTTTTCCAATTCTTCTAATCCACTAATAATATTTGGCTCTCTCTTAATATCTTCTTATAAATATATTTATGGATTAAATATTTCCATCTTAGTTTTAGAGGTAATTCTCCACTTTCAACTAACATTGCATTTATTGGCGTGGATTTCATTGCGCCATACATATTCTGATACATCTATATTGTACTTTATCCAACACCTTTACATGTGGACTACTGTGATAAGCAATGCTACCATAATCTAAAATTGGTCTAATCAAAGTTTTATATAGCTCTAAACTTGTTTGTGGATGAGCACCCCACCATGTTTTGTTCACCACTCTTAATAGGTTTATCCTTTTTTCTATTTTCTTTTTATATCTTGTATACATTCTTTAAATTTCAATTTTTGATCCAACTTGACTCCTAAAAATTTATTACTATTTTTAACCGCTATTGAATGCTCTTCCGTACTAATATGAGTTGGTAAATCATTCAACCTATGTCTTGTGAATACCCCTATCGAGCTTTTCTCATCCGAAAGTTCCAAGCCTTTATCCCTCAACCATCCATGAAGTTTTTTAATATTTTCCTTCATAATATTAAACGCTAGATTTAAATCCCTTTGTTCTACATAAATGAGTATGTCATCGGCATATTGTATAATATTAGTACCTCTTACCCAAATATTATCTATATCTCTTACATATATAGCATACAATAATGGGCTAAGTATACCTCCTTGTGGTAGTCCTTTATTCACTACTCTTTCACCAATTATTTTGTTATCTTTCTTCACTATTATATTCCTTTCATATATATTAAATGTTAAGGCTGACACCAATCGGAATGGTAATCCTATTTTAATTAATTCTTGGAACATTATACTTGGAACGACATTATCATATGCCCCTTTAATATCGCAAAAGAGTGCCACCACATAATTATTTCTTGAAAATGCCAAATTAATATCAACCATTAATTTACATAAATTATCCTTCGTACTCAGCCCTCTTCTGAATCCGTATTGACTTTTAGATAATATTTATTTTTCTCTACAAACCACTCCAATCTTCTTTTTATCATTAAATCTTTGGTTTTAGCAACACACGATGCTAGTGATATAGGTCTGTAATTATCTGTATTATCTGCATTTCCATTTGTCTTTTTAAAGAGAATTATATATATTTATTCCAGTCTCTAACTATTTGTGTATCCAACCAGTACTTATTGATTAATCTTAATAGCACTTCCTTACCTATATTTGGTAATTCAGATAACATAACGTAATGAATATTATCTATTCCTGGTGCAGTGTCTTTTCTCCTATTCATTGCGACGTCCATCTCCCATATATTAAACGGTTTCATGACTTCTTTGATATAGTTTTTATCTTTCAAGTATTGCAATCTCATACAACTATCCTTTACTCCCATTGGGGCTATTTTATTCAATAACATATCTATCCAATTGTTGTCGCATCTTTTATTTTCTTTTTCAGTATCTTCTCCAATATTTTTCAATCTTTTAATCATACTATATATTTGCTTGTTGGTGTGTTTGGGTTCAGAGTTTTAATGTAGTTATCCCAGCTTTCTTTTTCTTTTGCTTTAACTTTGCTCTTACCTCATTTTTAACAAGATTACATTGTAATATTTTTCTAAGTTCATATTTTCCTATTATTTTTTCTGCTTCTCTCCTTTTTTTAATTAGGTGTTACATTCTTCATCCCACCAAATTTGTTTTATTATCCTTTTTTTTTCCTATTCCTTCAGTTTTTGGGATACTTTTCATTGCTGCTTCATTAACAATATCCACAAAAGTGTCATAATTTATTTCTTTTTTTGAAATCTTAATTGTTTCAATTTTCTCTTCAATTTCTTTCTATATTGCTCCCAATTAGCCTTACTACACCTCCATTTTCTATTAGATTTAGTTTCATCAAAGATCTTTTTTTCATTTAATTCCATTATTA